AGAGAGAGAGAGAGAGAGAGAGAGAGAGAGAGACTCTTTTAGTACTTTCTGCATTGTATATGCTTTCATGTGGTTGCTCTGAAGAGCAGTGTTATATAGAGCTATACTGTACCCCCTCCCCGCTCATCCAAACTCCAAATCAAAGGATTCAGCGTTGTTAGTCATAGAGTGGTGATGAAGAAGAGCTTTCTTGGAAACTTCTCTCCAAGCAGAGAAGGAAGCCATAATTATTTGGGGGCCACAAAAATTGAGTAATGGGATCTTAGGGGCAATGTAAAGAGAGAGCTATTTTCTGGTATTTTTGCTTGTAAATCCAAGAGAGTATTACAGATTGGGTGACTTCCCATAGGATGTTTGTTTGGTTTTTTTGTTTCTCCATTCCTGGAATTCATTGAACAAAGTGACAATTTCTAGAGTCAATAGTAGAGCTTCTAGTCTTTAGGATATTTTGGAAAAACAACAGCCAACAAGTTATTTGCCCTAGACATGCAGTTTCCTGAACACATGCACGATGGGGTTTTGCTTTCTTTTCCTTTTCAGCTGACATTTCCTGAGGGTTGTCTCTTTGTTTTTAAGGTGACTGGGAGTGCACTCATCAATCAAAATAATTATTTCAGAGAAACTTTCTAAAAGTCCCTTGAATGGGATAGGAAAAGGAGAATCCAGTTGTTCCAGGTGAACCATTACAATTTTTTCAGGCCAATACTATGCATTGTTGTTTTGGAAAGTCTTTATTCCATGACACAAACAAGCAGCACATGGCAGATAGTAACTATAATTCCAAGATGATCATTCTCAAGAGTCTCAAAATAAGAACACACAATAGTAACCCTGATTTTGCAGTCCTTATTCAAGCTAACCTCACAGTGACTTCAACAGGAGGTTGCAACTGGTGCCAAAAATATTTTCATTGTGAGGGTAGTAATGCAACAGTGATGCTGCAGTGAAAAATGGCATGTTGATGAGCATAAAGACTGAAGCCACTGATTTAGTCTCAGAAATCATAACATAACAAGCCTCGGCTTCATCTGAAATATGTGATACTTCAAAAATGACCTGGAGAGGCCACCTCTATGGGTGAGAAGGAAGTTCAATTCCAGTTACTCATTGAAGTCCTAAACTCTTCATTGGGATACAGTAACAAATGAGGCAAGTCATGCAATTTTTGACTGATAGTATTTTTATATGAACACTAGGAATGGGACTTAGACCATCACCTCCTTTCAGACCAAAGAAGTAATTGGAGGCTAATGTCTGGCATTCACAGATAGGCTTAGCCAGATGTGAACCCACAATAATGAGGTGGATTGGTTCTGTAATGCCAGGGTTAACACTTTGACATACATACAGACTGATCCAGCACCTTTTAAATACCACAATGATGAGTTGTAAGCACTGGGACATGATTGTATTCCTATAGTAACAGTACAAAGATACAAAACAATAAACCTGACTGATATATTTTTCTGTAATATATATATACACATATGCATGTTTGTTTTTTGTAAGTACAGACATATACATGCACACAAACACACACATGGTACAACATTTAAGAAATGTTTTTAAACCATTAAAATAAACTAAAGAACCTGGAAATGTCAGGAAATTCCACATTAGCCCTGCAACTTCATCAGTAACATGCTTTTTATGCCTCAATATTCTTGATGATATGGTTCTCTAACAGAGGCCCTCAGAACAGTGGGGGTGATTTTATATTTCCTGTCAGGCACAAAAAGACAAGTTTAGCACCAAGATGCTATTTTTACTAATACACACTCAAAATTGTCTAATCTCCTTTGGTGGTCACTCATTTCCAGCCAGCAGGTAATGCTAGTGTCCTGCTGTGGTCTGCTCACGTGACATACCAGATCTGGCATTATAACAATAACATATGACATGTTAATCAAGAAGGAAAGGGGGGAAACTACTTTTATGCTCATTTTCATTCCAAAGTACATATCTGGCTATCTACAAATTAATTATTCCCTAAAGCATATTATTTGTACTTTACCTTCTAAATATGTTCAATGCATGTATCTTTCTAAACCAGTTAATATGTTTCTGAACTTCCTACAAATACATGAAATACAAACACAAGTTTGGTAAATAGTTTCATATGAAAAACAAGTCAGGGGTCTTATTTTTTGTGGGTGTCTCTACACATGCATATTAATCTGATGCAATAAAATTATTGCACAGGAGTTTATTGTGCTCAGGTGCACCATTTACATGAGCCCCTGGAACCACAGCATGTGCAGCCAGGTTGGAGTGGCCCTGGCTGGCAGGAGGCCTGGGGGGTCAGCCTGCCAGCTCAGGGCTGCTCCCCCTTGCTCAGTGTGTTGCAGAGGGGCTGGCTGGGACACAAGTTTGCTTCAGCTTTGAGCTTGCTGGCAGGCATCCCCCACACTAAAGTACTCTCATGCCCCTGTTTTTTACTGTGGAGTAAAAAATTCCACAGCAGGATGGTACTTGTATTTACTATCTTGTAAATAGTACTTTTCTGTAGTACTTGCATTCAGTTGTATTTACAAGTACTATACTGCTGTTGAGGAAATTAGTTTACTGCAGCCTAATAGAGGTGCACAGGTTTACTGTGGAGCTAATTAATCTACTCGTCAATAAATATCTCATGTAGATGTGCCCATTTACTCCAGGTTTATATGCATGTAATAAGTTTAAAATAGTGGGGGAAAAAGAGATTTATGAAGTGGTACCTTAAGAGCTGTCTTGAAGGACTTGATCCTGTGGTCTCTACCCAAGCAAAACTCACTATAAAATGTTTGGGCCTAGTGCTAAGTCTTTGCTTTGTTTTTCCTTATGTAAAAGTGTTAAATCCAGTGAGCTAATCCACTGAAGAACAAGATGTCTGCCTACAGCCAGATTGTCTGACTCTTACACAGGTAGGCAACTGGGACAGACCATAGAATTGCAGCACTTCAGGCTACTGAGGAGACTGCTTACTACCTGTACTATATGTGAAGAATCAGGTTTCTTCCATCCCCACGTAGGACACATATTACACTTCATAATGGAGGTGGTGGACTTCTCCTGTGAATGAGGGAAGGAAAAAGGTTTTTTAGTTCTATCTTAGAGATGATGCAATGGTAGATGATACTTTTACTATGTGATGGAATGAGTGGTACAACTTAACTTGATACCATAATCAGGGGCGGATGTGTGGGGCATACAGTGAAGTTCCACCTTGCTTCTGCCTGCCACTGTTCCTAGCTGATCCAGTTTCAGGGAGAGTCCCAGAGCTACTTCTTCCCCACTTAGCTGCAGGCTGCAGCTGTGCAGGGTACCAGGCTGGACAGTGGAGGTGACATGCAGGTTTCTATTTCCAACACCTGCCCCCAGCCAGGGAGAGACATGGGGAGGAGGGAGAGGGGAGCAGGGGAGAAGGAAACTGCACATTGCTGCCACTGTTCAAAGCTGAATCTAACTCCTTGTGCAGCTGTTCCCCACAATGCCTTGCTGGAGTGGCTCTGGCCCCTCTTGCTCACAGCTCACCCAGGGATTGGAGCAGAAGTTTCAGCATAGGGTAACTTTCTGGAAGGCACTCTGGGGTCTCCCTCTGATGTAGGGACTTCTTACTACATCTCCTGCATGGCTGAAGAGAGAAGGGACAGTGTGCTGCATCTCCTTTTATAAATCCTGTATTCACCTATGGTCATTACTAAAAGCCAGATTCAATTCCTATGTATGCAACAGGATTCTTTCCATCAATGGTAGTAAGCATTTACTTAAATTTAAAAAAAATGCGTAAAGGCTAAGTGAAAACTGATAGTTTTGACCAAGGGGAATTTTACAGACAAGACTCCTTCATACACCTATATTTCCATATTAGTGAAAAAGATGACTTTAGAGGGGATAAGCATAGGTCAGCTTATGCTGAGTACCCAAAGATCAGAAATTTTATGAAATTGTAACTGAGCTTTGCACTTCTCAGGTCTCCTCATGAACATATCTGCTATACACCATTTCCAGTAAAGCCAGAAATTCTGTTAGCCTTGTTAATAATAAAAGCATGAAAGCAACAAGGAATGGAAAATAACAAGGTAAAAAATGTTAATGCGATTTTTATGAATGTCTCCAAAGCTTCGCTTTGAATCTCACTTGAACTTTGGCAATTGTTTTGTATTTATTTTTCTAGGTTTTTTTAAATCTGAGCTATTTTAATTGACCCTGTTTCTTTATGTGGTTAAGTTTTTTGTATTAATTCTATTATACATTTTCCCCGCCATTGTTGTCAAATTACAATTTATTTTTGTCGAAAACACGCTATGTTAACATGATATATGTAATTATTTTTAACAAGCACAGCACTTCACTAGGCAACTGCTGTACATTGAGTTCAGTCTGTTTCTTGCCTATGCCTAGTTCTTAAATCTTTTTCTCTGCAACATTTTCATTCATGAATAATATAGCTCAGCACCTTAAGTGTTTACGGGGTTGGGCATCTGCTTATTTTATTACAACGTAAATGTTCCCGGCTGCAGAAACAGATCCAGAATTTTACGAAGGTGGGTAGAGGAGTAGTGACCAGTAATGCAAGTGTAGCTGCAGTGCCTGCTCCCACGTTCCATCCTTTCTCCGTCCCACCCCACCAAGGCAGGCAGACTGTGCCATGGGTGCAGCAGTTCAGAACTTTTTTAAGCCCCCAAAGCAGGTAAAAAGTACCACACCACCTTCCCTACCTAGTCAGAAGCATCACCTGTCCCCTCCTCGTGCCCTTTCACCACCTTTGCCATCCCTCAACCTGTTGCTGCCACTGTCTGAGGAGTGAAAAGAGTTCCAGAGCCACATCAGCCAGCCTACGTGGAGCCTGGGCTCAGCCTGGGGCAATGGCAGAAACAGCAAGGGGTAGGTGGGTTTTCCCTCCCCATGTCTGCTCCCCTGCTGGTGGGGAAACACCCAAGGGGAGCTGGCAAAGAGAGAAAATCTGCCTGTCTGCCACTGCTGCTGCTGCCCCAAGCTAAGCCCAGCCCCTGCACAGTCCAGATGGAGCAGGTCAGGAGCTATCCTCACCCTCAGGACAATTGGGACAGTGGCAGCAGCAGAGAGGAGAGGGGGGAAATGGGAGGGGAGGGGATAGAGAGGAAAGGAGATGTGACTTGACTTTGAACATGAAGAGGAAGGGAGGGGGAAATTGTTAGCTTCTTCAGAAACTTAAAAAAGGCCCTTGTTGCTCTGCATGGTCGCAAAAAGAGGTGTGGGTGAAACATGGTGCCCACTATGGTATGCCCCTGTCTGGTTGCAACTCTTGTATTCATTTCTAAAATATAAGCACATTTTTCTAATACCCCCAAAAATATAATTGCATGCTATGTATACTATGCAGCCACACACACACAGACAATATGCGCTCTAATTCTGTATACAGCAGGCTGCTTTCTTTAGACTGTCTTCCACTTCTGGGTTCTTACTAGCCTTTGCTCAGTTAAACTAACTTGCAATAAATGAAAAATAAGGTCTAAAACCATAAATATAATGTAACCTCTACATGAAAAGAATCCATAAACATGTATACAACTAAATAACAATTCACAATCTTTGGTTATTTTTCCCTTCTTTTCATGCCATACCTTACGTTGATCATATTTACTTGTCAGTGCCATTACCACTTAACCACCTGTAGAAATGCTGGGTTTGTCATACTTTGAAGACTTTGCAATGAGAATATAATTTTTCCATATAAAGTAAACTCGAATTTACTGCTTGATTTAGCAATTTCCAATGGAAATATGGGACATCAGTTTAGATAATCATAAAGATTCCTTCTGGCCTTAAAATCTGTGAGTCTAGGACTCCTTTTATGTTATTTGCAGTTTAGTGTCATCTCCTTCAAGGTGATGATCAAAGGAAAATTTGAATTTCTTAAAAAGTGTTTGGCATTTCCTAGAGTTAAAATGTTACACCCTGATCCTATACATACCCACAGAAATGTGTATCTGTAATAGTGTGAGCAATCCCATATTAGTTAATGAGATTATTTACATGGCCAAACTTAAAAATGTGGGCAAGAATTTGCAAGACTGAAGTGTTAGGTTACAGGAGCCTTGTAACTCTTTACAATGTGCTGTTGTAGAGGTAAAAAATAAATGTTAGGAAGCCTTCAGTTCTAATGTCACTTATTCCATTGACTTGGTGTCTGGCCATGGATAAATTACTTAATGGCTGTGTCTAAGTTGTCCAGTCTGTAAAATTCAGAGAATATTTTTCTCTACATAATTCATATTATATATTTTGTGAAGTATCATTGGTTTATATATATATATATATATATATATATATATATATTTTCTGAAGTGCTAAGCATTACTCAGGGGCAAAGCCTCCCACATACATAGGACATAGCAGCTATAAATAACAATAATTTTTTTCTTTAAATCTTTAGCAATGATTCACAGTTTTCTGTTATTAAGGAACAGCATGTTCTCCCTCTGAAGCACTGCATCAACACAGCAGTTTGTTTCTGTAAGTGCCAGTTGTTTGGCATGTATAACAAAATTAAAGCTCGAGGAGATGAATCATATACAAAGGCAGAGTTCAAGGAACTGTTTATTTTACAAGTGTCACTAATAGACATATATTTCTTTAAATCAAAGAAATGTTTGACTACCATCACTGTATGCATCTGTACAATAAAAGGACATCTGTCTACAATGAATTTTTGGAAGGAAGAACCCCATTTAATTCATTAATTTTTCTTAGCGATATTTCTTAAGTATTGGTAGTTTGTATACTTAAGTGTCAAGGTTATGATTAAAAAATTCAGTTATTTTAAAACAAACTAAAGATAGAAAGGAAAGTCAAGGAATTGTTTATCATCTGTTCAGGAAAAGTTTGTAGGATCATTTTAAACTGAACCAACTTCATTCATAATCTAAGATAAATATTGCAAACTGGGATGGGGAAAAAAAAGTAGCTTATAAATCACAAAGTGCCATCCTTTTATAATCTTATGTGGAGTCCCAGAATTATTAACAAAATCATTGCCATGTGGAAATATAGTTACAAGTACGTAGGGACTTGACAAGTAAATACATTTCTTGTTTTAGAATAATGAGTTTAAATAGCTGCTATCATACATTTATAGCTGATTTCTATTTTGGTTGGTGCAGTGAAAGGGAACCAAATAATGTTATCTTCTTCTGTAGAGATCTTGCAATGCAGGAACCCTCATGATGTATAGTCAGGGTCATCTTAAAGATTTTGGAGCCACTGAGCACGGTGTTTTTTTGGAGCCTGTGCATGATATAGGGGCCTCTACATGTTGATTTGGGGCCTCTCACTGAGAATGTGGTTGAGTATGCATGAATTTCATGTCATTGTGTAATCACGTTTGCATTTGGAGTGTTTTCTGCTCTCACTAGATTCAGACAGAAGAGCAGGTCCACGCTCGAACTCATAGCACTTTGCAATGATCCCCTGGACCCAACAGAAGTTTGGCTGAAACCTCAGTGAGGGGGAAGGAGGTCTCTAATCCATTTGCCCCACACTCCAGCACCAGCAAAAATCTCAGACCAAGCTCCCTCCACTCCCTGTCCCCCTCCCCTCCCCATTCTGAAAACAGTGCTCAGGCTGGAAAGCAGCACAAATGTAAGTTACTGAATATGCTCCATTTTGAATCATCTTCATCTGAACCCTGATGTAATGGGCCTTTTTAAAGGGCTCTGTAGCCATGCACTTCTGTTTGGTCACAGATGAAGACCACTATCAGGACCTAGAATGGGTGAAAATTGTCAGTTCTTTCTGTGTTTACATTGGTTCTTTCTTTATTTGCTTCAGAAAACATTTGTACCTTGTTCTGAGAAACATGTTGCATGTGTCTTGTGTCAGTGTAGCTCTTGGGGCCTTTAAAAATTAGGGCCCAAGGTTAATGGGCCCATGGTTCTGTCATCTATGATGGCAGCCAGAATTTGTTGATTATCCTGACTGTGCAGGAGGAGTGCTTTTTAACGTGCAGAACTTAGAGTTGCCTGCAGCATTAGTGTCCATATCTCCTATGGCATAGGTTCAGGTTCATTCTTTCCATCCATGGAGGAAGAGGAGTGAATAATTCCTAAACATATTGAGTGATCACATGTGACTTGAAGGAAAAGGGGAAAAATCTTGAACCCTTTCTTATTTGGTCATGGACTTTGATGGGAAAAGAAAATGATATTGTTACATGTAGAATGTAGCAGGTGTATTCAAGTAACACATTCCAGCCATCTTTCTTGCCAAGAATGTGCTTTGGGGTCTCAATATCAGTAAAAAGGAAGTGATACCTGCTGCATTTAGAGATGGCAGTGAGAAAAAAAACCATGGTTTGTGGAAAGTTCAGACTTGAAATTAAAATCTAAATATCCAATCCATCTGTGTTTGATAGCATCATAAATGGAGGTTGGCTGAGGAGAAGTGGAAAAAGCGCAGTGCGAAGAGAAAATCTAGACGGCAAAATTATTGGAGGTGATTGGACTGAACCTGAAATCTGAGCTCTTTCCTCTACTGAACTAAATCCTTAGTCCTGCAGACTCCAGCTGAAGAATATTACTTATTATCAGCCTAGTAAAAGCTGTACTTTCAAGTCAAGGACAGTGATATCCTTTACTAAGGATATATTAAGATGCATCCTGCAACATAATAGCAATGCTTAAACAGAAAGCATAACCTTGGAAGGAATGTTAAAATATATATATTTGTAGAAATATTTCTGATAATTTCTAAGTTTCTCCATGCATGAGAAATGAAGGGGTACAACTGCCAGTGCAAAGTGGGGTTAAAACAGAAAAAATAGGGAGACAGAATTGGTACTGGGGTTGAAAAGCAGGGAGACCGGGTTAGAGATCAGGCAGTGATAGATACGTTAGATAGATACCTGGAATATATTTTTGGAAAGATAACATTAAATGTTAAGACCCAAATTGGTTTTCTTTTCCATGATTCCATGATGTCCTAGAGATAGCAGAATCATGAATTTTGGTAAATTCAAATCACAGCAGGATCTCTCCATGGTCTATGGACTTTGAAGCCTAGGTCTTCATAGGCTGCCCTGGTCAAGCTTGGTCTTGGTGCTGGAGGAGAGAAGGGCAACATTCCTGCATCAAGTCTTTTTACTCAGACTTGATAGAGGGCTGGAGATATTTGTATGAAAATACATATAATCATAAAGAAGTAGGGCTGGAAGGGACCTCCAGAGGACATCTAGTCCAAACCCCTGCCTGAGACAGGATCATCTCTATCCAAACCATTCATGTTTTTTCTACTACCTTGATGCTCATCCCCTGCCTTCCCACCTGAAATCAGGCTAAGTCTTTGTGTCTGGATGGCATGATTAGACTGTTACAAACAGAAGATTGTGAATGTGTGTGAAGAAGGGACAGTGGGAACAAATGGTATATCTAAAGATCCTGTTTCCAAGCAGACGTCAGTAATAAAGGAGAGAAAAGGAATAAAGAAAATATGTGAGGCAGAAGCAGGAGAGCTGTTGCTGAATCTAATGTTTATTCAAGTTTTCCACTAGCATCAGCAGGTCTTTTCAGAGGCTCATTTGAGTTTAGACTGACAGCCTGTGAGGTCTGTTGCAGTGATTCTTTGCCAGCTTAACCATAGTCTATTCATTTTATTGAAACTAAAAGAGGGACCTTTGTAAAAAGGAAGTGATGAGGAAGATCCAACAACTCAGCAAAACAAAATGAACAGGAAGGCAAAGGGGAATCTGTTTTACTACTCAGGCAGCTGAACAGGCTGATGAACTCTGGCCCAAAGATGGTGAATGTCAGAAATCTGCCATGCACATTTCCTGCCTTGCATTGTTTCATGAATCCCAAAGCAGCTGCTGTGCCACTGCTGTCAGGAAAAGCCTCACCCAGCTCATTGTTTGGGATGTTATAACAATAAATATTAATTATATAAAATTAGAATTATTTATGCCAGGGCCATCAGTCTGTCCCGGGGGGCTTATACAATCAGAAATGTATGATGATCTTTGACTTCCAGCTTATATCTTTAACCTTTAAGATTCCATTGGGAAGGAATGCATGTATAAAACTATGATAAGAGCCAGTATGAATTCATACCACCTTGAACAGTGCTCCTGTTGAAACTATAGCTCAGAAGAGCTGCAGCATATCAGTACTTGAACAGAAAACTTTCAAGGAAAGCATAGGCCCAAATCCTGTTTTATTCCTAAAGTGACTATGGAGCATTTCCACAGTTTTTCGGTTCCTGAGTCACTAAATGTGATCCTATTCCATTCTGCACCTCAAGTGTTCTGTCTGACTAAATGTCACAGGCCACTTTTGCACTTGTAGATTCTTTTAATGCTGATGCACTGACTAAATTTCTCTTGGGGTAATTAAATCTCTCAACACGATACTTCTGCTGCAATTCCTGTCTGGCCCTATATATACATTTGCAGTTATTGATTGATTGTTTTTCCTCACTGTCATCCTAAGCCACCATATAGCGTTTCAGTGGGTGTGTCTACACATGATGCTACGTTGCTGTATCCATCC